GTTTAATTTTGTTTAACTTCCTATTAACAGCTAAGGTCATTTAAGAATGTGCCTCCATGCGTGTAGTGTATGCATGCAGGAGACAGGGTATTTTGGTGCGCTTGCCTCCTTGTGATAGTGCGGATCTGATGTCATTAACGCTAATCAACATTAAGCTTGTGGACTGTTCACAATGTTAATATAGGCTACATATACAGGACTACAGATCAAATATTCTCTTCAATTTGTTATACCACTTATCTTGACAGCTGTATGGAATTTGAGTTATCTACAAATATTACATTTTAGGTTGTATAAAATACCATGACAGCTGTATCAGTATGGAATAAGAATTAGCTGGTGAATGCTCCACAGAGGCCTCAAACTTGCGATCCAGTGTTGGATGGCTAACGATCTAGACGGTCAGATGCCTTTCCCACTTGGCCACTGCAGCCCCAAGTTATAAATTGAAAGATCTAAGGGTAAAACATTCTCTAGGTTACATGATAAATCTTGCCAGATGTTTACAATACAAGATCCATCTGTTACTATGACTTACTTTGCCAGCTGTACAGAATATGAGTACAAGGCAAATTGGTTCTGTATGTTGTGACGTATAGACTCAAGTATCTGCTTCATGCTTCCAAAATTTGTCTCACTGAACTCGCACATGTCGTAGAGATGGGTAGTTTTACACTGGGATCCATCCCCACAAGGCCCCTGTAGACAAAATTGAAAACTGGTTATGGTAACTAGTTTATATATCAATCAATCAATAACACACTAATCTGAAGCGATATCTGTGAGCAAGTTAAAAATAATTATCAGGAAAATACATACAAAAGACCCTGGAACGACTGTAACTAAATAAAGTTCCAAATGGTTTATGTAGAAAAAATGACAAAGGAAAGATTTATACATATTAAAGACATTTTAAGATATATTGATTTCTGAGCTGTCATTTTCAAACCATATTTGAAGAAACATCATTGATGGGAAGAACTAACAAAGATGCCTTGCAAATCCTAACACTATCATGATTATTCAAACCTTAGACAAAAGTTATCATGACCGTCGTTTATGTTGTCGACTTATTTAAGCCTTGATCAAGCGTTTGCCACTGTACACAGACATTTTGTTGTCTTGCTTTAACATTGATTTGGTGCTTGATTGTACATCTTCATAATCCAAGGCTCTGAAAACGCATATCTTCTCGACTTCTCTACATCCCTTTGAATATGTCACGACAATACTGACTGTTATGTACATCTTACAGATGATACAAGTTCAATCCGTTTATGTACATCAAAGGAACTGGATGTTTTCAAATGACAGGCATCACCATAGCAATCTGTCAGTTTCTCCTACCCCAAACCTATCAAATAGCTAAATGCAATCTCTCAAATTTGTCATGTCATATTCAAATTGGGAAAATAAGATAGGTTCATTGAGAGCATCACCCTTGAAATTCAAAGATGTGGGCTGTATTGAACAGTAATGTTTTGACTTACTTTAGCATTGATAGAATGTTTGGCTGTTGTCCACACTTGTTCCAACATTTGTGAGTAGTTTGTCCGTAGTGCATCAATCTCTCCGTCAGCCTGCTGGAAATGTCGACGAGCACTGAGATAGCTCGTTAAGATCTCCAGGAATTCATGGTTTTCCTTTTTTGCCTCATGCTGTTCCAACCAAGTGTTTTTTTAAATAATTTTGTACAGCATAGACATTATCTCAAATGTAACAAAAACACTACCACAGTGAGGAATGGCTTGAAATTGTTTCTTGAAAGTTTGAAATAACTGTAACCTTGATTAATTTTTCTGTGTATCTCAGTTGTTTTTTAAATAAATCTTGAAGATATTTTTTTTTAAATGTTTATTTTGATGAGGCACAGCTTTAGCTTTGTTCACAATTTTTGTGATATTTCTCTTTATTTACATCATCCGGAACAGCGTTAACGTACTTTAATTTCTTCTGGATATTGAAATTAAATTTTAATCTTTTTACTACATCTACAAACCTGCACAAACTTATCGATGAAATGGATATTGTTGACCAGCTCCGGGTTGTAGTATAAGCTTTGAAGTTGTTCCAAAGTGAGAGGCTGAAACTTGCGAACCAGAGTCGGTTCACTTTTAGATTTAGCAGCTTTCTCCACAACACCCTTCATAGAAATCATGGCAGGTGCAGACTCCTGAGGACGCGGCTCCTCAAACTGTTTTGACTTTTGATTTTCCGTACAAACATTGTGCTGTGAAGATGCAGTTTTTATATTTAACCTTTCAAGGTCTTTTTCCAATAGTTTCAATGTGTCTGGACCAACTGGAGTGATTTGAGGATATAGAGGTCCAGAATCAGTCTTCATTTCAGATGCTTCCATTTTTTCTGTGTCAGTTTTGTCCGGTGCAATTTTGTCATCGGACATCACCTGACTGTCATCATTGTCAGAAACTGTCAGACCTAATTCTTTATCACTGAGCATCGAGGTGGCTGAATAAAAACTTTCCTGTCCACTTATGACATCTTCAGACTGAGAAGGTGAAACCAACTCCTGAGTCCCTAAAACTTGAGTATCAGATGACACTTCAACCTCTGAAACACTCTTGCCCTCAGATTCAGTTTCTCCCACCGGTGTTTTCATGTCAGTTTTGTCCTTATTCTCCCTCTGAGGTTCTGATTTGTCATGTTCCTTTGCAGTGTAAACTGTAGATACCATAGTATCAGCTGTTTCCTTGTCAGATTTCTCACCTATACAATCTTTCCTATCTGTATCAGGTATTGTGTCCCTAAGTCTCAAGTCACCACTTTCTGTCCCTTCACACTCTGATACAGCATTATGTCCCCCTGTTTTCTCCGCCTTCGCATTGTGACCACCAGGTGTCTCTGTCTGTGCTGAGAGTTCTGATGGTGGTAGAATTAATGACGGATCAGTCTCCAGGTCTTGTAAAAATTCTTCCAACCCTGCTTCACCTTCATCCTCCAGAGTTATTCCTAACTTTGGAGACTTTGCTTTTTGTTTCTTCTGCTGTTGAACAAGAACAAACTGTCATGAGGTTGTAAAATACATTTTTTTAGTCTCACTGGTCTATTTATAAGGTATAGTAACTGCTGTTCCACTTTTATATTTTATGAACATTAAAATAGGTCTTAGACATTTCTTTTGGACATTGTTGAACTACATTTATATAACAGCTTCCTTTCAGCTTCTTCTGGAATAAGCTAGATCATGGATTGATGCTTTCTAATCTAAGTTCATTGCTACATGAACGATGATAGCATGATATTTTGTAGACCCTCAGCCCCCTGGGTGTCAGCCTCTCCATTTGAAAGATTTTGAATCTCTACCAGCTCACAATGCTTGCAGCCAAAATGTTTCAGAGAAGAAGTGGCTTAAATCAATATCATATATGACAAAATTATCCATATTTGGCCCTGCCCTCAGCCCCCCTGAGAGTTTGCCCCTCCATCTGTAGAATTGTGTGCTTCCAGACAAATATGGTTGATATGCATCTCTGAGTTTCAGAGAACAAATTGCATACCGGTAAATCAATATTGCAAAATTCATCGGCCCCCACCCCTTGCCCCCTTCCAGCGCCAATGAAGAACTCATTTAAATAAATTGTTGACAGATGGACAACAGATGCTGTGGTATGGCAGGGTTTTTGTCAGGTGTGTATAGGGTCTGTTACAGGGACCCAATCCTAATTGAATAATGACCCTGCAATTTCCCAATTTCAGTTTTCATTATCCCAATTGAATTAAAAAGCATGTTTATACAAGTTTCCCGTTGTTATATGTACAACGTTCAAAGTATCATCATCCATGAAGGAGCGTTCAAAATACATTAATAATGAAAATTTGAAATGGAATAAACAAAATCAATGAGAATTGAACTGTTTATTTATTGCTATCCAGTTTACAGTAAGAAACAGCTAAAGTGTTTGCTCATCACATTGCAGGTTTTATTTTTTCCAAACTTATGATATTTTCCCAAACCTGTACTTGTGGGAACACCGATATCTCCAAATTTTTGCCAAATGCCTATGATATTTTCCCAGTTCCTGCTTTGGGGCCCTTTCCTAAAATAGCTGGCAAAAACCTTGTATGACATAAGCTCACGTTGATCCTTTGCATACTATAAATATTTCATTCAGTTTTTCTCAGATGACATCGTTGTAATTATGAGCTAGCTTAAGTAGCTTGTGGTATATATATAGTTATCATATGTTTACTAATAATAACACTCTTTTTGTATGTGTA